TCCAGATTTGAAGATGGTTTGGGACAGGAAAGTAGAAATAAATGATCACATAGCTAGAACCACTGATATATATTTTTTAAAACAGCCACCATATGGCACCAGAATATATACAATCCGACTCTGAACTGCCTTGGTACGGATATGGTCATACGGTTTTAAATGCAGTGTAGGCTACCGTGTGTTTGTGTGTATTGTTTGCAACTTGCTGATCCTGCCCATACTGGACATCTGTGAACAAGAGCTTCATAGCTTATCGGATTCCTTCTCCTGCAGACTAAATAAAGATCCTGGTTCTGAATTTTCCGCACGACTCCACTTATCTGCAAACAAACTGGCAACGTCGGATGGTGAATGGAGATTTGATCACCTTTATTTAACCAATGCCACCGTTTTGATTTTCCCATTTACAATAATTTAAATTAACGTGTACTACTGTCGAATATTTTGTACAGTATTTTATATGCAGTAGTTTTTTTTTACATTAGACTACTTAAATAGTTATACAAATCACTACAAAGCAGTATAAACCATTTTGGATTAAAAAAAATGTTGCAAAATTACGTAAAATGTACGATTACAAAACTCACTATTAATTTATATTCTTTGGGTCTTTCGGTAAAGTCACGTAGATAGAATTTCGTTTTAAAGCTTTCGTGACTGCAAGGATTCATCTTCTTTGGTTCTTTCGGTAAAGTCACGTAGAATGAGAATAACATAATAAAATAACACAATACAATTCTCACGACGTTTCGCCCACAACGCAAGCGGCCGTCTTCAGGTGAAAGGTACAGAACTGTCGGGACGACAGAGCTTCAATGACCTGTCGTCCCGACAGGTCTGTACCTTTCACCTGAAGACGGCCGCTTGCGTTGTGGCCGAAACGTCATGAGAATTTTATTGTGTTATTTTATTCTCATTCTACGTGACTTTAACGAAAGAACCAAAGAAGATGAATCACGTAGATAGGTTCAAAGAAAATAACAAAAAACCACGACGTTTCGAGCGCAACACAAGCGTTCGTCATCAGGAAGAGGGGGTTAGCTTCTCAAGGTAAACTGTTTATAAAGGTTTTAAATGGGCGTAGTCCAAATGTCAGTAGCCAATGAGAATGTGGTGGGCAGTGACGGTGGTGGGGTTTCCACCAATCAAGAGGCTGACAAGTAAAAATTTGCATTTTGATTTAAAGCTTTCGTGACTGCAGGGATTCATATTCTTGGTTCTTTCGGTAAAGTCACGTAGAAGGGAAACAATAAAATAATAAAAATATAATATTGTTTTATATTTTTATTATTTTGTTGTTTCCCTTCTGCGTGACTTTACCGAAAGAACCAAGGATAAAAATTAGCATGTTAATGTAAAATATTTAAACGGCCTCCACGGTCAGCGCCCTGAGGTGGCTATGTTAATGTGAGAGCTTAGCGTGTTAATGTCAGCTGCAGTCACGAACACTTTAAGAGTAAGTCAAGATTCAATATGAACTGTAAATCTTTTAATAGCGTGACGTCACGGCCTCGCTGTGATTGGTAGAGTTCGCGTCTGGGCCCCCCCCCTTCACCCTCCCCCGCCCCTCACCCCCGCCCACCCTCTCACCCCGCCCCACCTCGCTCACCCCCGCCCCTCCCCCTCACCTACCTCGCCCCCGCCCCCCTCTCACCCCGCCCCGTCTCACCTCGCCCACCCCCGCCCCTCCCCCTCACCTCGTCCCCCCGCACCTCGCCCACACAGACCCCCGCCATTCGCCACTAAGTTCAGTTCAGTTTCAGTTTATTTTGGTATAGCCCTGTGAGCCATTCGGCCCTTGAATCGGGTGCAACCACAACTAACAAAAACAACAAAAACACGAACAAGAAAAACATCTTAAAGTGACTATGTGTGACTGTGCAAACAGAAAATCCATGGAAAAAAACAGCAAAATATTCCTGAAAAAATCACCGTACACCACCAACGCTGTGTGCAAAAAATCCCAGTGGGATGCAAGTCAAACAACAACAACAACCACAAGACAACTTTAGATTAAGGCCATCAGTCTAACTCCGTACTACAACAAAACAAACATGTCCAAACCAAAAAAACTTTTCCAAATCACCAAAAAATAAAGCCATAATTGCAACGTAACAGTGATCACAGGGACTGGCCGAATTTTTACAATAAACTACATAAATAACATGTAACACCAAATCCTAGAGCCATAGCTGGCTGCATGAGTTACTCCACAACAACAGGAGCATCAGTCGGAGTATCACATTTTTCAATGCACCTTGAAGATCAGCACGCTAAATCAAAATGCGGATAATATTTTGCAGCGTCATCCGGAGCGAAACATTTTATTTTATTTTACGCCAATGAATAGCAGTGGCAGCTAGGAGTGTACAACTCCTCAAGAGCAGTTTTGAGAGAAGATCTCATTGGTAGCGATTCAATCATTGGTAGCGATTCACGTGACGGTGGCATCATCACGGCGCCTGTGCCAGGCTAGGTGCACTTTGAGGCTATCACGTGATGTGTCGGAAGGATCGATCGCTGCTGGCAGGAGGTCGCGGAACAGACCCTGCAGGTGCCATGGGTTGGCTGACTGAGATGACCGGTAGATGCACCCATCTTGTGCCCACGACTTTACCAACTTGCTGCATTTTATCCGCTCGGCGCTTCGCTCGTTGTTGTGAGCGTCGCTCCTCTGCCCTCTGTTGTTGCTGGAGGGCGACTGCCTCCAACTGCCCAGTAGCAGCAGCTTCCTTCACGAGCCTCCTCCACTGAGGCCGATCTTGACACCCCTGGTACCGGTCATCGGCAAGTCCACTCAGCTCCACGTCCTCCTGTACCACATCACTCCATCTCTTCTCTAGCCCGTACCACTCACTCACCCTCTCACCCATCATCAGCTCCATCTCTTCTCCAGCCCGTGCCATTCACTCACCCTCTCACCCATCACTCCATCTCTTTTCCAGCCCGTACCACTCACTCACCCTCTCACCCATCACCCCATCTCTTCTCCAGCCCGTACCACTCACCCTCTCACCCATAATCAGTCCATCTCTTCTCCAGCTCGTACCACTCACTCACCCTCTCACCCATCATCAGCTCCATCTCTTCTCCAGCCCGTACCACTCACCCTCTCACCCATCATCAGCTCCATCTCTTCTCCAGCCCGTACCACTCACTTACCCTCTCACCCATCATCAGTCCATCTCTTCTCCAGCCCGTACCACTCACTCACCCTCTCACCAATCATCAGTCCATCTCTTCTCCAGCCCGTACCACTCACTCACCCTCTCACCCATCAGTCCATCTCTTCTCCAGCTCGTACCACTCACTCACCCTCTCACCAATCATCAGTCCATCTCTTCTCCAGCCTGTACCACTCACTCACCCTCTCACCCATCACTCCATCTCTTCTCCAGCCCGTACCACTCACTCACCCTCTCACCCATCATCAGCTCCATCTCTTCTCCAGCCCGTACCATTCATTCACCCTCTCACCCATCATCAGTCCATCTCTTCTCCAGCCCGTACCACTCACCCTCTCACCCATCACTCCATCTCTTCTCCAGCCCGTACCACTCACTCACCCTCTCACCCATCATCAGCTCCATCTCTTCTCTAGCCCGTACCACTCACTCACCCTCTCACCCATCATCAGCTCTATCTCTTCTCTAGCCCGTACCACTCACTCACCCTCTCACCCATCACTCCATCTCTTCTCCAGCCCGTACCACTCACTCACCCTCTCACCCATCATCAGCTCTATCTCTTCTCTAGCCCGTACCACTCACTCACCCTCTCACCCATCACTCCATCTCTTCTCCAGCTCGTACCACTCACTCACCCTCTCTCCCATCACTCCATCTCTTCTCTAGCCCGTACCACTCACTCACCCTCTCACCCATCACTCCATCTCTTCTCCAGCTCGTACCATTCACTCACCCTCTCACCCATCATCAGTCCATCTCTTCTCTAGCCCGTACCACTCACTCACCCTCTTACCCATCATCACTCCATCTCTTCTCCAGCCCGTGTCATGCCCGTTGAGCCCCCTCTATGCGGCCAAACAGAAGCTGCTTGGGAATGCGGGCTCCATGACCCAGCCAACGCGTCCACATCTTTCAAGAATTTGTGAGCTCCTCACACAATCCAGCCCGCAGGTTAAACCCAGGATGGATCGTAGGCAGAGCCAGCATGAATGTTTCTAATAAGCGCAGATGTCCTATGGGTTGGGGGTCCACGTTTCACAAGTGTAGAGAAGGGAGGGGCATGCCCGTGGCCGAGAAGACCCGAAGCTTCGTGCGGAGTGACAGGGCAGGTAGGTGACTTCCAGCCAGCATTGCGCAGCCGATGAGGAGATGTTGCCGCTCCACGGAATCGGAGTTGAGACCTCTGCTGACAAACCGGAGCCGGTCATAAGCACAGTGCCCAGGTATGGGAAACTCGGCTCCATCACTCCCCCTCACCCCCCTCTCACCTCGCCCCCCCCCTCACCTCGCCCCTCACTCCACCCTCTGCCTAACCCCCGCCCCCCCTCGTCACCCCGCCCCCCCTCACCTCGCCCCCCTCACCTCGCCCCCCTCACCCCCGCCCCTCACCTCGCCCCCCCTTACCCCGCCCCCCCCCTCGTCATCCCCCCCCCTCACCTCGCCCCCCTCACCCCCGTCCCGCTTCTCACCTCCCCCTCTCACCCCCCCCCCCCTCGTCACCCCCGCCCCCCCTAACCCCCGCCCCCCCCCTCCTCACCTCCCCCCTCTCACCCCCCCCCCTTACCCCGCCCCCCCTAACCCCCGTCCCCCTCCTCACCCCGCCCCCTCTCACCCCCTAACCCCCGTCCCCCCCGCCGCCTTCACCCCGCCCCCCCTCCCGACCCCCTCCCCACCCGCGCCCTTCCAATGGGCAGGCGCGAGCGAGGAAAGCACTGGCGCGCGGCTCGCGATTGGCCCCGCGGTGCGCCACGTGACCGCGCGCGCGAACGACCAATCAGGCGGCGCCCCGCCGCTCATCCGCGCTAGAAAATACAAATACGGGGTGGTGGTGGGGGGGTTGTACAGTGCGGCCAGGCGACAGCGTTACCATTCAACAACAACCACCACCTCCACAGCGGCAATTAGCAGCAACAACAACGACGACGACGGCTACAGCAGCGGTGACACCGCCTCGCCAACGAACTAATTCTTTCGTGTCGTCTGCGCGCTGAGTAAATTAATGATTGCCAATTTGCTGGGGGCTCTGTCTGTGAGACGCGTCCCGTGTCTCCGCTCGACACCCGGCCCGGGCCCGCGACGCCTCCTCCTGCTCCTCCTGCCCCCGCAGCTCCACCGCAGCGGCGGCTACAGCAGCAGCAGCTACAGCAGCAGTCGTAGTAGCTACAGCAGCAGCTACAGCTACAGCAGCAGCAGCAGTAACGCCGACGAGAGCTGCAATAGCGGCGGTAAAGGAAGCTACAGCAGCAGCAGCAAGAGTTACAGCAGTCGCGGTAACGCGACCGATAACAGCGGAAGGTACAACAGCTACAGCAGCAGCAATAATAATAACAGCAGTAATAGCGATAGCAGCAGCAGCGGTAGTCTGTACGACAACGGTAGCTGCGACATTAGCAACAGCAGCCGCAGCAGGAGCAGCAGCAGCAGTCGTTTCGGAGGAGGCGGCGGCACTGACATCAACAACAGCAGCAGCAGCAACAGTTGCAGCAGCGGGAGTGGCAGTGACGGCAGAATCAGAATCAGCAGCAGTAGCAGCAGCAGTAGCAGCAGGCGAAGCAGCGTAAGAAAACAGAGCGGCGGCGGCGGCGTCTCGTTGGCACGCAAAGGCGGCGGCGGCGGCGCTGCAGAATCGCCCTCCGCTCCCAAACAAGAATCCCTCTGTCGCCGTCAGCCGTCGAGTAGCATGGCCGCGAACCAAAGTAAGATCGACTGGAATTCGTGGGAGAAAGCCAAGGGTGAGTTTTACGTTTCGCACCGGGATTTTAACGTTGTTGGTGAACCCACCGGCTTTCGCAGCCTCCGATTGTCTGGTTTCCATTTTTTTTGTTGTTGTTGCGCGTTTGGAAAGTTGTTGAGGGTTTTAAACGCGCCGTCATGAAAATGTTCACGAGTCGTTGATGTTACAAAAGCGGAAGTGGTTCCGCATTTCAGACCCAGTCGCGTTGGCCGCATTAACACCTATAGAGGAATTGAAAGTGGATATCAACCAAGAGTTTTGCGGCGCTTGAGTACGGATAGTTGGCTATCGTCCATACGTTACAACGCCTATAAATCGTGCATGTGTAGGAATAACCCAATGGTGGGTTTCATTACCACCATTATCTGGGCCATTATCTGCCTTTATTGCCATTAACGCCGTGACAGCATTCGTAGGAAGAAGGTCATCGCGTGCCGCTGTTTAAAAAAAACCCTAAGTCTAGTACCTTCGCACATGCTTTTGCATTGCTCACCCAGGACTGGCCTTGAATTTTGCGTGTGATATTTTATCTCGGCGGGGATGTGACCGCAGGTTTTAATTTAAGGAAATTGTCCTTCAGTGCTGCCGGTGAAGCCACTTTAATTCGCGATGCACCGGAGTTGGGCATGCATTTGTGTGTGTGCACGCCACGACTCCACTCTCCAGCGTGGCCCTGCGAGAGATTCGCGTGGACTAATGGGAATGCCATCCCACATCATCGTTGCCGTTCTGCGCAAATTATGCAGTTGAATTTTTTTGTTACCGTCCGTTTTCTCCTTTGACGTATTTTTTTTCTTCTTCCTATTTTCATTGTGCTGTATTGAAGGTGACAACGCTGACAACAATGTGTTGTTGTTGATGTTGTTCACTGCGGGCCCCCCGGGGTGGGGGGAGGGCAATGCAGCGTGGCTAATTAACGCGCGCACTTTAATTGGCGATGTCCACGACACGTAATTGACTGGGCAGTGAACGTGTTAAAGCGATTAAATATGCCCTCGTGACAAGCGGAGTTTCAATAGTTAACGTCTGTCTCTCTCGCTCTCTCTCCATCCCTCCGCAGTGTGGGCCTGAACACAGAATCTACCCGACATGATTTAAATGCACGACTAGCTTGCCAAGAAAGCGTGGCTCTCTTTTGAAAGCGCGTATCTTTCATTTTTAACAAATAAGAAAAGGGCTCATTAATGAATGTTGAATGCATTTTCATTGACGGGGCCCGTTTGCTGCGACTTACCTTTGACAATGGCTTATTGGATTTTTTGTTCTGTTTGAAAGGAAATGTCAAGGTCATCCAATGGCTGTAAAGCACATGCCCCCCCCCCCCCCCACATGCCACCCCCCCCCCCACATGTCCCCCCCCACATGTCCCCCCCACATGCCACCCCCCCCCACATGCCCCCCCCCCACATGAGGTGTTTACCGGAGTGAGAGCGAGCAGCCTTCTGCAATCTGACCAGTTCGACGACGACCGGCGCTCTAGTTTTGCCAGCTGTATTACTTAATGTAACGAGCACAATTATACAATCATACAATCATATACAAATCATGGACTGCAGTGGCTTCCGCCCCGCAAAGAAGTAAAACGCAAGCTGCCGCCTGCTTGCTTTAGAGAGGACTTGCAGAGAGCTCCAGTCACAAAGTGGTTGGGCTGAATTAAAGGGTCTGAATTTCGATTGAAAGCTTTCGTGACTGCAGGGATTCAGAGCTGTCGGACGCAGTCTTTCCGACAGCTCTGTTCTTCACCTGAGGACGGCTGCTTGCGTTGTGGCCGAAACGTCGTGAGAATTTTATTTGATTGGTTTATTTTTATTATTTTATTATTTCCCTTCTACGTGACTTTACCGAAAGAACCAAGAATATAGAAGGTCTTGAGTTTTGCTTCATAGCATTGAGGCAACAACTGTGTTGAGGTCATCGGCTCGAACGTTGAGTGACCGTGGAGGTGAAGGACAATTATCATGTGTTGTGTTGTGGTATCAAGCTAACAATTCATTAGGAAAACGGTGTAACAGTTTAAGATTGTATTATCACACGCCCAGGTGTAAACGCTTAATCACAGTTTGGCGGCAGAAGCTAAAGTAGTTCGAGGTAGTGTGTCATCCTGGGTCATTATGCAGTGGGATGGGGTCATGTGTTGTCTGTTGGTAGGTCACGTATTACGCGTTCATTGACCATTAATGACAGTGCAATTGGAATCTTTTTTTTAACCTTGGCATTTGATCAATTTTTTTAATTATTATTTTTGGTAGTTTGATATCATAGAAACACAACCTGAGTGCACAATAGAGTTTTTTTTGGGTTAGATGACGTAAATATATAAATGTGTACTAGATTGTAAATTATTGTAAATGTTACTCAGATTGTACTCAGATTGTAAATGTTGTGGTTTTGCTCTCCAACATCTCTGTGTACAGTACTAGTGACGAATTGGCATGTTTTGTTTACGTGACAAACCTTAACAATTGGCTGTGTCGGGTGGTGGCGGGTTTAACGCCACATTTGATATATTTACGTGATCTAACCCAAAAAAAAACTTTCATGGATGGTATTGGTCTCGAAAACCGACTAAAACCTAGTCAATTTACAGTGAGGGAAAAAAATATTTGATCCTCTGCTGATTTTGTACGTTTGCCCACTGAAAAAGAAATGATCATTCTAAAATTTTAATGGTAGGTTTATTTGAACAGTGAGAGACAGAAAAACAACAACAAAATACAGAAAAACGCATGTCAAAAATTGATTTACATTTTAATCAGGGAAATAAGTATTTGACCTCCTCTCAATCAGAAAGATTGCTGGCTCCCAGGTGTCTTTTATACAGGTAACGAGTTGAGATTAGGAGCACACCCTTAAAGGGAGTGCTCCTAATCTCAGCTTGTTACCTGTATAAAAGACACCTGTCCACAGAAGCAATTAATCAGATTCCAAACTCTCCACCATGGCCAAGACCAAAGAGCTCTCCAAGGATGTCAGGGACAAGATTGTAGACCTACACAAGGCTGGAATGGGCTACAAGACCATTGCCAAGCAGCTTGGTGAGAAGGTGACAACAGTTGGTGTGATTATTCGCAAATGGAAGAAACACAAAATAACTGTCAATCTCCCTCAACCTTGGGCTCCATGGAAAATCTCACCTCGTGGAGTTGCAATGATCATTAGAACGGTGAGGAATCTGCCCAGAACTACACGGGATGATCTTGTCAATGATCTCTAGGCGGGTGGGACCATAGTCACCAAGAAAACAATTGGTAACACACTACGCCGTGAAGGACTGAAATCATGCAGCGCCCGCAATGTCCCCCTGCTCAAGAAAGCACATATACATGCCCGTCTGAAGTTTGCCAATGAACATCTGAATGATTCAGAGGACAACTGGGTGAAAGTGTTGTGGTCAGATGAGACCATAATGGAGCTCTTTGGCATCAACTCAACTCGCCGTGTTTGGAGGAGGAGGAATGCTGCCTATGACCCCAAGAACACTATCCCCACCGTCAAACATGGAGGTGGAAGCATTATGCTTTGGGGGTGTTTTTCTGCTAAGGGGACAGGACAACTTCACCACATCAAAGGGACAATGGACGGGGCCATGTACCGTTAAATCTTGGGTGAGAACCTCCTTCCCTCAGCCAGGGCATTGAAAATTGGTCGTAGATGGTTATTCCAGCATGACAATGACCCAAAACACACGGCCAAGGCAACAAAGGAGTGGCTCAAGAAGAAGCACATTAAGGTCCTGGAGTGGCCTAGCCAGTCTCCAGACCTTAATCCCATAGAAAATCTGTGGAGGGAGCTGAAGGTTCGAGTTGCCAAACGTCAGCCTCGAAACCTTAATGACTTGGAGAAGATCTGCAAAGAGGAGTGGGACAAAATCCCTCCTGAGATGTGTGCAAACCTGGTGGCCAACTACAAGAAACGTCTGACCTCTGTGATTGCCAACAAGGGTTTTGCCACCAAGTACTAAGTCATGTTTTGCAGAGGGGTCTAATACTTATTTCCCTCATTAAAATGTAAATCAATTTATAACATTTTTGACATGCGTTCTTCTGGATTTTGTTGTTGTTATTCTGTCTCTCACTGCTCAAACAAACCTACCATTAAAATTATAGACTGATCATTTTTTTGTCAGTGGGCAAACGTACAAACTCAGCAGGGGATCAAATACTTTTTTCCCTCACTGTACATACTCAGCTAGTCTGACGCACATGGTTATGTACATATTCAGCTGCTTTCAGCACAAGAATCAATGTACATTGTACAATGGTGTGAATAAAGTTGGCCCGTGAGACAGCGATGCTGTCAACTACTTGTGTAAACAGAGCTCTGGGTCCCTTAAGGTATGTAATCAGGTGGAATGTTTCCTCTAAAGCACAGGCGCCTTTTTGGCGAGATGTTGACTACCTCGCCTGGTATACAGGAGGTCGTGGGTTCGATCACGACCCTGTGACGCCTGCTGCTGTATATTTGGAGTTTGTACGTTCTCTCGGCCTGTGGTCGCGTGGATTTTTCTCCGGGTTCTCCGTTTTTTTTTCTCTCTCCACATTTAGAAACATGCGTTTTGAGTATTTGGCTGATATATATTTCCACACGATGAGCCATTTCGCTGAGGTATTATTTGTAGCCAAGGCGGTTCTGAAAAAGAGCTATGTAGCTCCGTGGGCCGTACCTGGTAAAATAAAAAAAACATAGTTGAGTTTTTTTTTGCTTCGTTTAGTTTGGTCATTTGCTTTAATATTCCCACGGGCACTCTTGTACGTTCAGGGTGGTCGAGATTGACGCTAAAGCAGATCAAACTTCAATGTGAAGGCATAATTTGTAGCTTTTACTAAATGTAATCAAGTTCTTTCCTTGCATGTCGTGTGCTCTACTACATTATGTATATGCACGTTTTGTCAGTTCTATTTTGTTTGGGCCATCTTCGTTATGTCACGGGACAGAAATGTCCTCGCAGAAGTCGAGCGGAACGCAGAGGAGCACCTCATGATAGAGAGTTTACCCATG